CAAGGAAATAAATTAGTTTTTCTGGAGTAAAGCCAACCAATGAAAAAATGTGCAAAGACGACTTTTTTAGTAAATATCAAAAACTACACGGTACGACAAAGATACTATTAAAGCCTCCATAGGATTATTATCATAAACATCCTAACTTCTGTCAAACGATGTTTACCCGCCTATTTCCAAATAAATATCTGCACAGGAGCAAGCGAGTCCAACGAAACGGCTTTCAAAGTAAAACCAAGTATGAAGATCAACCCAATTTTTTGGAAAAATTGTTTTATCAACGTTTTGTGTACAAATGACAATTTAAACTAGTTGTGTCGTATAGAAACAATGAACTGTATACAATATTTGAATTTTGGATTTTTTGTGGACAAAAAAATTCATTAATGTCCTCTGTTCTTTCATTAACATTAGTGTGGTTCGCCCCATGTTTAAAATATAAATAAAAGTATAACGAAAATAGAAGCAAGACCAGAACAAACTGACTAGTTCAGGCGTTATTTGTACGAAAATACATAATAAAATAATACTTCGAAAACGCGTCTGTATTTTCTCTCTGACGCTGCTTTCAATCTCACTTCCTTTGTAGATTATATTATAGATGTAGACATTACTTGACATTTTTGGTAATAATCCTGTGGAAGCTTTAAAAATTAGAACGACCACTTCAAATTTCCCCGACTATATATTTAGGCAAATTTATTGTCCACGTATTAGCTCTCCATTCGCAACAGAATAAAAAAGAATCATTTCAGAAAACACTAAAATTCTCTGCAATTCTGCGTGTTTTTTTTTTTTTTTTGTTTTTTATTCAACAAACTGTCTTATCAGCAGTCCAGAAAAAGCACACGAGGTTACTGGCAGTATTTATCATGGTTAACTATGAAACCGCTCGAATTGATCCAATTTTCCACTACTGTTCAGTGGGTAAACGGTACTCGTCAGTTTTACTTCTGTTAAGAAATTTATAAATAAAATAATGGCTACATTACAATGAAATCGATATTTTTGAGTTACGCCCAATTAGTTTGAAAATGACCCTAGGAATACAGATTTCCAATCGTTGATGTTCTGGCTTATTTAATTGTTTTCAATCAATATTTGTGTAAAATGTAAAGTAACGTTTGTTCCAAACTAAGAATTGCATATTATGGTATTTACATTTATCTTTTGTAGCGTGCATAAATCATTTTACGGATATCTAATCAAGTTGTTTTTTGACATTTACTATAATGGTCATATGCACAGCAGTATTTTTCGCAGTGAACTAAGTGTTTGTTACGTGTTAAAAACTCTTTCTAATGGAACATCGAGGTTGAATATAACTCGCTTCTAGCAGATACCAAATTTCCAAAAATAGACCGCATTTTAAGAAGTAGATATCACTCTCTTCACTCTGTCTAAACACATTTCATGATCAATTTTATTGACGTTTCTGACTCTATAATTTAGTTAAAAATAGTGCAGTTTCGTTCCATGTTTGTGACTGGGACGTGAGATGTAGTGAAATATTTCAAAAGAAGTTATTTATACCTGCTTATTGTGTACGGATGTGAAAGTAGTATTTATTTTAACTATACAGTGCATTGAAAATGTATATTATTTTTCAAAATTTAAGCAAATTTCAAGGTCGACAACTTACCAGTGTAGTTAGCGGAGATCACAACCCTCGCAAAACTGTAGGGTCGCGGACGTTACAGTAAATAACACGTTTTGTTGTGCATCTGTGTTGTACTCGTCTATAATATTGTAAACAAAAGAAAATGTAACTAAATAGTATGTTATATAACAGAAAACACAGAATTTACATTGTTTTCACTCTCATGTTTCAACACAGCTGCTGTACATAGCAAGGCCTTTAGAGCCGTTTGCATTGAGGGCTTAATGCTGATTGTTGTTGACATTAAATGCCAAATGAAAAAGTGACAAGCTGACAAGTTATTAGAAAAACATTCTGATTCAGTATCAGAATCGAGAGAAATTGTGATTGGGGGTATGTCTTCATATGGTGCATTACCCATTAAACGCTTCCAATCATCCCTCATCAGCCGTTCACAATGTCTAATAAAATTTTGCCATTTGTCTGCACCTACTGTAGCAAGAGCCTCCCGCCATAAGGACTGTACAACACCAATAGCACCAATTGTAATATAGTTTACACTGTCCCCACGCCAGTTCAATTGGATTATACTGACAGTGGTAGGAATATTGAAAAATAGGTGGATAATTCCTCTTGCTCTCGTCACTGCCATACCATTTATCCTGGGCATATTTATAAATCTGTTCCTTTAGGATCTCTGCTGGGTGCTTTTAAGTTGTAGTTCTAACTTCCCCACTCCGTAAGAACATAATCTATCATAAATATTGCGATAGAACGCGCTCATAGAAACGATTCAAAATTAATGCGGTTCTTGACGTTTAAAGTGACAGATCAGTCACTATTGCATTGTCGATAAAGTAAAATAAGGAGGTGTAAAAAAATACTAAACTACACAGTTAAGAGTAAATTTTTGGGTTTTGCGTGTCCTTGACCTTCGCGCCCATTTTGAAAAATAATATATATTCATTTTAATTGTTTATGGTGAGCAATGTAATGAACGACTTAAACAACCTGTTGATATAAAAGTGAACGTAAGGACGCTATATTAATAAACCCGCAGCAGAAAGAAAATATTTACTGGAATATCAAATGGAATAATACAATAAGATATAGAGGAGGTGGGGTAAAGCGAGACAGGAGCACAAACTGGAATACTCCATAAAAATTTAAACAGTTATTATTTAGTCTACTTTGTGATTGTATACGGGAAGTTCGTGAACCGTTTTCTTTTGCGCGACGTTTCATTAAGGCCAGTCCCCACGTTTTCTCAGCGGAATTTTCGCTCTATTTTCAAAATGTAATATCTCCGTTATTAACAGATCTATAGTTTTCAAATTTTAAATATATGTTGTCCATAACTTTCTTTATATAACGCAAGGGCAATTTTGTTAAAAACAGCTTGTGATCATATTATTTTTTTAATTTTAGTGAAATTTTTGCATAACGTATTTTTAAAAATCAATATCTCAATTATTAAATAAAATTTCAGAACACGGTTTTCAACACTGTTTTCAGCTTACAAAACTCCAGAAATCATACGAGACATATCGTCGATTTTATTTTTTAGAAACGATACACAGTTAAAAAAAGCGTATATCATGGAAGTTGCTAACTTTTATTTTTACTATATCTCAGTCCCAACAAATAAAGTCAAAAATCGACCTCGTAGAATTTCTCAAGTTTTGCAAGCTGAAAACAATGGTGACAACCCCGTTCCAAAATTTCCATAAATAACTGAAATATTGATTTTTAAAAATACGTTATGCAAAAATTTCACTAAAATTAAAAAAATAATATGATCACAAGCTGTTTTTAACAAAATTGCCCTTGCGTTATATAAAGAAAGTTATGGACAACATATATTTAAAATTTGAAAACTATAGATCTGTTAATAACGGAGATATTACATTTTGAAAATAGAGCGAAAATTCCGCTGAGAAAACGTGGGGACTGGCCTTAATGATTATATGTATGTACATGGTGGATTTATTGAGATTTTTGTATAATTTTTAGAATCATCATAACTTCAAAGTGCATTTTTCAGTACAAAAAAAAAAAAAAATAAATAACGAGACCGTAGCAACTACAAGTGCTTCATATAAAAATATAATTTCTCAAAAATAGGTTAACTTAAATAAAAAATATCACATGTTAAAAGAATGTAACTATTATTTTTTGATTAAATCATTTTGTACCACTTCACAAATTAAATAACACTTATGTATATATGTTTTTGCCCTGTCGCTAATTGCAATTACTAGTACCAATCTGAAACTAGGTCATTTATGTAACATTGTACCTTTCAGATATTTGACTTTGCCCCACATTCCTCTAACTTTGAAGGTAATATACGTCAGTTTACTTACCATTCGGTTATTTCAAAATTTTATAATCATCATGTAGTTTTTACTGGTTGTTGTTGAAGCGTAAAATTTCGCTACATCTTAAAGAAACCACTTAAAATTTATTTATTATAACTATTTAAATCTTTAATTAAAATATTTGCAACTGGTAGGTATGTGTCACATCCACAACAAGATAAAAATAATACACAGCAATGATTAAATCCACAAAGATCAAACACGTCAACTCAGATTTTCGGGTTTTGGTACCATTATCAGAGAAGTTTTTTATGAAGATATTTAAATGATTAACAGTACTGAAAGCTCTGCGGCTTAGAAACTTATATCCATGCAGATTAAATTGCAAATGTTTGTCGAATTTATATGATAAAAACATATCGACATGTTTCATCGTTGGAACTGTTCGAAAAGCTATTTTTATGCATTTCGCCTGGTTAAACTGAACGCTTTTTTATTCTAATTCTTTTTTGAGGTATAACTTTCTTTAAAAATAAATAAGCATTAAATTACTCTGCTTACTTTCACTTATTTAGAAATAAAGAAATAAAGCGTCCACTCTTAGTAACAGCAACTTACCTAAGTGAGCAGGTATAACATTCATTATGATCTTTTTATCTACTTGTTTACAAAGTCTAGGCCACAGTTCAATTATAATAATAAAATCACTTATGCAAATGTTGAAGTCGTCATTATCTACTTAGTTACTTGAACGTTTAAAAAACAAGTTATTGATGCCATAAATGTTATTTTCACAGTAAAAAATAAAACACTTATCTAGTATCACAAGTTCATCAGTTGTAAGTTTTAAGTTAATCTTTGTCCTGAATTCACTAATCAAAAAATCATGTGAATAAAACCCCACAAGTACAAACTCCTAAAAATAGCTATACCAGATAAAAACTATTTGCAGAAACGCCAAGATATTGATCTTCAATATCAGATAATTTAATTCTAAATTTTCATTTTACCAAGGACACGCTGGAACAATCGTGTTTACGTAAGTCGCATGAACGCGTGGCAGTCTCATTTTACCAATAAAATAGTTACTTCCACGCGATATTTGCCAAACACTTATCAATAACGTTAACCTGCAGATAGTGATGAGTTAGTCGATTGTGGCAGTTTCGAAACAAATTTTTTCGTTTAATTAGCGCCAAAATTCCATCCGCTGTAAACATCAAAAAAGAGAACGCTAAATTGGACGAGCTCTTATTAGCAGTACACTTTTCGATAATGAATCACTGATTATACAATTCTGGCAACATCGGTAAATGGAAAATTACTATAAATCACTGAAGGAAAAATGCAACAGGAAATCCACATTTTCTCTCATTTTTAACGAGTTCCCGTAGGTACGTGCAGAAAAATTGTTTGCCTATATGATACCTGCTTATTTAATGTTATATTAACGCTGTGTAGTATTTGCTTAAGCCAGGTGGAATATTTTTATAAGAAAATAATAAAATGACCATGCTTGTTGTTAAATGTCTTTGACAGAGTCACGTGGACACACAGTGCCTTCAGTGAAACGTATTTTATTCTATTTACTTAACACTCTCCTAGCAATTATCACCTAAAAATAATTGTGAAATTTTTAATACACCAAGGAATTATTTAAAGTTCAGATAACTGCAAAATGTAGGTAATTAACATAGAAAATCTAATTTTATCAATTAGCACACGCTTCTTGTGTCTGCTACGACCCCGTCAGAAGGAACAAAATTCCATAATTTTTCAATACATCTGATAAGCAGGTTTAAAATAGACACGGCAATGATTTCACGATAACTTTTTTCTAATCTCTTGGCAGATAACGAGACTTGGGGACAACTTTGGGCCTGAAGCATTTTTAGAAAACCACGTGCTTTTGATTTTACACGTGACAAACCAATCAGTTTTCCAACCACATTTGGTGTTATCTTGTCGGAGGAGCGCAGTCGCTTGGAACACATGAAATGTAAAAGAGTAAAAGTTGAGTGGTGCGTGGAGACTGTGTAGGGAAACTTATTGTTGTTGTTGTTCTTTGTTTTGAAGAAGTGGTAAAGACTGTAACCCGCCAAGATGGATGGGGCTTACGATTTAGATACCATGATGGGATATCTTGGTAAGTGATTAATTATAAATCGCTAATACCAATCAGTCAAAGTACGCCAAATACGTACGTACTGTAAACTGAAAAGGATTAGCTAATTATAGAACGGATTAGTGTGTCTTATAAGATTTATTTTCACCCAGATTTTGTTGTGCGATCGAGTCTGAACAATTGGTAACTGTAAAAGTACTTCCTTGTCCGTTTTCAAAAATGAAGCAAAAATATTGCATTTATTTGAGCGTTATCTAAATCGCGGTAAAGAAAAAGTACCATGTTACAGTTACCTTAAGGTCAGTGACACAATTTTACTTGCAGAGAGCAATAGTCGATGCAATTTGATGTCTGCACACGAGCCGAGATGATATAATTTTCCTAATTTTACAACAGTTTTAAATTTAGAATTAATCACCTGTTACAGTTTATAATAAAACCCAATAAAAGTAAGATAAATAAATAGATCGGATGCTTTGTTCCCTTTTTTAATCAATTTGATTTTTGAGTTTACACAGTTTATAGTCTATTACAAAATTTTATGGAGTGATATATTAGGGTTATAAATTTCGGATCTATGTTGAACAAATATACACACTATTGCAATTTTTTAACCCCTATTTCAGCAATAATTTTTCTGCGTAACCTATATCGCTGAAATAGTAAATAAGAATATTTTTTGTCAGTAGTACTCACTTGTACTTATTCGAAGTACTATACTGGTAAAAACAATGGTCTCATTTTTCTCGCTTGACTTACTGACATTATTACTTACTGGCATTGTTTTTCCTCCATGAGCTGAAACACTTCTGCTGTTGATTTGTCCTCAATTATTTCAATGTTATGCAACAAAATCAAAATTAAATGTTTATTCACTTCAGCGGCCTATTGGCTAATTAGGTCTTAAAATAGATCAGCGTACTACTATTAGCAAACACCTTGTGATTTATTATTTTAATAGTGGCGTCAACTTGTAGATTAGAAAATTATGGTTTATTAGCATGAAAGCACACTTTCGAAAATAAGTAGTTTATTAATAATTTCGCACATACGTATTACGTATAATTACTACAAATGCGTTCGAGTAAAGTAGGATTAAAGTGAAGATTACGCATATAAAAATTAAAACCGTAACACCATAAATACGAGATAAAATTATTAACATAATGTGAACGACCTCCAATTCGCGATAGTCTCGCGGATAGCAATACGTATTACTTAAAATAAAATCGTTAATTTCATTTTACTTTAAACTGTTTACATGAATTTACAAAATCTTATTTTTGGAATGGAGAAATATATAGCGAAATAAAACGAGATAAACGAAGCGAACTTATTTAGGTGCGTGGTCTTTTGAAGAAACAAAGAAATTATATTTGTTACCAAAAAAGTAGGTATTCTTAAAGGGTTATTTAGGTCACAACAGTAGCAAAATTTTCATTACGAGAGTTCGAGGAACGTTGAAATTCCAAGTAACTATTAATACTTCGTTATGAACTGTGGAGAAAATCATTGCAGGACAAAATTAATTTAACTTAACTATTATTGGTTTCATATCATAGTATTCGTGTTAGGTTTTCTTTGTTTTTCATTAATTTCTTATTTAAGTCGTAGAAGTAAATTTTGCAAAGGGTTTTATTCGCCATTGTATGTTTTATTACGCCAGTTAATTTCGTATTGTAATAACAAATGGGGTGTGAAATATTTTTTGTCGTTATTTCAATCAACGGGCAAAAATTTAGGATTCTATTTTAACCTAACATAAAGCTTTGGTTAATGTCCGCTGTTTACTAGATTAGACATATAAATCACATTACATTATCTTTGCTTATATAGGTCTTTAATTCCGAAGTACCACCATAAATGTTAAATGAAAAACCTTCATAATCGCAACACGATGTCAGTATATTTGACCCGAGAGACAAAACGGGTCATTTCCTGCATTTATAATAATAACTCAAAGTAGAATTCACAGTAATATAATAACCTTGATTTTTTGATTTCTTGTCAAAAATACGAACAAGCCTATTGTGAGTTTAGAACTTAAAATAAAGTTTCGAAATATTTTTCAAGTTTTTACTTTCAGCATTGTTTAAATAAATGCTAGATAAATATAATTTTAATATTTTGTTGCAATCTTAAATTAACGTCGACAGAAATTTCTATCTGAAGTATGGAAGAAACACATATTTCGTATTAAGATAATAAATAAGTGTGATTAAAAAATCAAACGAGTTAATGCACTATAGGTGCTTAAGATCAAAATCTGCTCTAATTCCTCGCTTATTGAGATTTATATCCGTGTTAAAGATCCATGCCAGATTATTTTATAAGTTTTAATCTCCATGAGAACATATTTTTCAGAGTCTCTAAATTGTTAAATAACGTTTTTGAAAAATATCTATAATTATCAAGTATCAGATAGTGATGTGAAAACATCCGCCAAATCGATTTTCCTTATCTCTGCTTTTTATCGCATTTTAGTAAGCATCGGTACACTATTTCGCGCTTTCATTACAAGTACTCGCTTGATTTTTGGGGCAACTCGTTTTAAACAAGTTAAAATGAAAATTGCTTCCGCACTAAAATTTAACACAATAATTTTGAATGCTGTAAAAGTGCAGGAAATGCTATTCTGCTAATTAAAACTGTAGCGTTGTAGTAATTAACTTCTAATTTTAGATCTATCGATAGGTGTGACAACAGTTTCTGTAACGTAACAAACTCATGTTATTTTATTCTCCTTCCCTAGATGCGTCAAAATGAGATATCGAATGTTTAAACCATCTCAAGATACACGTAATACAAAAATTATTAAATAATTTCTTGTGTGTTAGTACATCAATAATAGCGAAATCACTTCCTCAGAAATGACTCACTTAATATTAAAAATAGGAATTATTTTATAGAATAATAAATGTGTAAAAGTTTTACGAAGTTCAGTCATGCAAACGGGCAGATGTGGAACATAATGTAAACTGTTTTAATGTAAACAAAACATTTTACAACAAACCCAAAATACCCCAGCATCTTGTCTTTCCGGTTTGTACCAGAAGTAAAAAGTGATGACGCGGTGTTTTTCAAACTGTGGTAGTCTGAGGATTTTTGGGGTTACAAGTATAATGTGATAATTAAAAAAATTGGTCTAAAGAGTTTAGACAGTACTTCCCTCGCTGTCGGAAACTTGACGACTGCATACCTATTGTGTTTTTTTTCTCATTACATTTTTGTAGTGGGAATTTAAAAAAAATTGCGATGACGTCATTAACATTTTTGCAAGGACACGTATATCAGTTGGGATAGATGTAATGTAATACTAAGAATAAAATTATTATATTCTCAAATTTTCGGGAAAATGAATTGGCTCGTTTTGAATATTGATTTGTAATAATCAATAAAATAACGAAACAATTTACTCACGTATACGTATCAGAGGCAACTGAAAATCGTGTATGTATAAACATTCTTAATTTAAGATGACAGGCGTAACAGTATACGTGAGAGTCAAACAGAGAAACTGTAAACAAAACGACCATAGGTTTTATTGCTTCGACTTCCGCTTATTATATAAAACATTGGGTTTTATTTTAATTCTTGACGGTGAAATTCACAATGGGTTGATTATAAACATGTCTATTTCACATTCGCGGAACCAAGTGAGCGCATAAAACAAATGCAGGTCTGTAATGTTAAAGTCGATGTAAATAAGCGTGCTACCCTTATGTTTCAACCGAGTTTTTCCTTTAACAAATTTTGTGTCTACCAAATTGGGTTGGTTGGGGTGTAATACTAATAATAAGTGTTGCCTTTAATTTAATCAATAAAATAAATTGACTTCATTAATTTTTTTGAACCACCTCTTAAGAAAATCTAAAACATATGAATGGAATGATAAATCCCAAGTACAAACTCATCATATTTTTTGCATTTTAGATAGGATTTATTCAGCAAAATTTAAGGGTGACGTCATCAATTTTTTTAGGAGGGATGAACAAATACATTTTGAACAAAAGTTTACCATGCTTATAATAACTTTAAAATATTCCCAAGATTTCAAAGCATTCGGTTTTCTAATTCCTGATTAAATCGATAAAATAAATTCACGCCTTCATTAATTTTTTTGAGTCACCCTGCATATGCAAATCCAAAAATATGATTGGAATGATAAATCACAAGTACAGACTCATCATATTTTGTACATTTTAGATACGATTTATTCGGCAAACTTTTGAGCTGACGTCATCAGTTTTTTGTAGAAGATAACCAAATATATTTTGACTAAAAATTTATTATGCTCTTTATAACCTTAAAACATCTGCAAGATTTCAAAGCATTCGGTTTTGTAGTTCCTGATTAAATCAATAAAATAAATTTACGCATTCATTAATTTTTTTGAGTCACCCTGTATATGCAAATCGAAAAAATTTGAATGGAATGATAAATCACAAGAAGAGACTCACCATATTTTGTACATTTTAGATAGGATTTTTTCAGCAAAGTTTTGTGGTGACATCATAAATTTTTTAGAGGGGACGACCAAATACGTTTTGATCAAAAATTTACCATGCTTATGATAATTTTAAAATATCTTCAAGATTTCGAAGCATTCGGTTTTGTAGTTCCTGAGTAAATCAGTAAAATAAATTTACGCCTTCATTTATTTTCTTGAATCACCCTGTATATGCAAATCCAAAAAATATGAATGGAGTGATAGATCACAAGTACAGATTGATCATATTTTGTACATTTTAGATATGATTTATTCGGCAAATTTTCGAGCTGACGTCATCAAGTTTTTGGAGGGGATAAGCAAATATATTTTGACTAAACATTTATTATGCTCTTTATAACCTTAAAACATCTGCAAGATGTCAGAGCATTCCGTTTTGTAGTTCCTGATTAAATCAATAAAATATATTTACGCATTCATTAATTTTTTTGAGTCACTCTGTATATGCAAATCCAAAAAATATGAATGGAGTGATAAATGACAAGTACATGCTCATCATATTTTGTACATT